AGGTTACTGAGTTAAGGGTTTATTACTAATGTTAATTGGGCCAAAATTTTGGGAAAGCCAAATTGTCAAAATTGCCCAATTAATTTTGGGAAAGAATAATGGAAAACACAATTGTCCAATTAATTTTTTTAATGGGTAATCGATTCGGAGTGGGGCACCGTTGCTAAATACCATACTCACCACACCCGGAACCGAGTCATTAAAATCAAAACCATAACCATTCCATTGCATCATTGGTTCGGTTTTTTCACCCCATTCGGTTAGACTAACGTCGATTTTCGATTTTAACAGTTTGAATTGTCATCCATAAAGAGGCTTTTGAGTTGACTCCTCTTTCTGCTTCGGTCCCTATATGTTGTAATCGGCCCTTTCCTTAATGTTTTAAATGTTCCTGCTCATATGTGATTGCTAACTATCTTCTTACTCGTGAATTTGTTAAATATTTAAGCTCGTCATTCATAGAGCGTATTTGGCTAATCTTAAATTAATTCTTTTAAGTTTTAAAATGCCTTTTTGGTTCGTAAAAAAATCTTAAATTAATTCTTATAAGTTTTAAAATGATTTTTTTGTTCGTCAAAATCGAAAATATTTTGACATGAAGTAAGAATTATTTTCAAACTAAGTAACGTTTCTTACTCGTAAATAAGAAAAAGTAAGTAATCCAAACTTTTTATAAACTTATCCAAACAAGTTGTATCTAATATATGTTGAGCATCACTCGTTGGAACTCTCCCGAAAATTCCCTTAGTATTAAGAAAAAGAATGCTTTGACTGGGTGCAGTTTGTCACAAAAGAAGGTGCTAAGTGTAAGTTTAGAGAGGAGGAGTGTTGGAACACTTCGGTCTAGCCTTCCATTAGTGTTCGAATATATCCTTTTGTGCTTAGACTTAAAATCAGTCTTTGTTAAGAGTGATCACTTAGAATGGTTCTAGTTATGCGCCTGCACCTTTTATATGGAGTTGTTAATATTTGTCAAACCTTGGAGTGATTTGTTCAAATCAAATGTACTTTTTCTTTATTAATAAAGCTTTCTACTTAAATGCCAATGTATATAATCATTACAAATTATCAAACGACACTATATGATAGCTAATATTTGGAGCCAAAGGACTTATTTCTGGAATAGAAAAATAAGTATCAGCATGCGCAGCTTCTGGCCATTTGACATCAAAAGTTCTTGGGGGAATTATAAGAAGGAAATAAATATATTAGGATCGGTTTTCAATTGTAGAATCAATTTCATCTGATCTTAAAGTCTTTTCTATCCGAGTTATTTTGCTTTTTTGAGGCTCACTAGATTCATTAACATCTTTAGAAGATGTTTCATCTTGTGTTCCACTTGAGCTAGGGATATAATTATGAATTTACATCAATTCGTTATCAGAAGAGAATGAATTCTCANATCTTTAGAAGATGTTTCATCTTGTGTTCCACTAGAACTAGAAATCCCTTTATGAGTTTTTCTTAATTCAAAACTCGAGGATAATGAATTCTCGAAGAACTTCATGTCATTAGTGTTGACCTATGGTTGATTATAACCTTAGAGTTTTGATTATAACAAATAATTTAATCTTATTTACTAACAAGTTGAATCAAGTGGTTATAGTTTTTCAAAGCATGCGATGGATAATTCATCGATGGTCGTCAAAAGATTAAAAGCTATCATCACAAATCGGACTCATGAAGGTAGTCAAGATTGAAGTCAAACGTTCAAGAAAACTTAAGAGCCAAACCTCAGAGTAAGATCAAAGAATTGATTTCTTAGATAAAATATAAAGGTACTAACACTTTGATATTTGACAATGAATGCATAAGCTCAAGATCCTTCTATGCATTATTAAACAATTTTGTGCATTAACAGTCATTCTAATGCAATGATTTGATCAAATATAAAAATGACTTTTAAAAATGATATTTGGACTTAAAAAAAATCTGTTATCTTGAAAAGTTAGTTAAAAATGTTTTCCAAAAGTCCATACAACAAACGAGGCCAAAACGTAGTTAAAAAAAAAAAACCGAACTGCTAAGTGTTCGGTAAAATAATATATCGCAAGTGCACGGGTCGCGTTCAAGTAATAAAGTAGACCTTTTGAGTCCGGGTTGTCGATCCCTCGAGGAATGTTTACTTCCGATTATATAACTTTAGTCAATTTAATTTTAACAACAAGAACAAAAACACAATAAAATTTGATTTTGGAAATTATGAGAAATTGACTAAAAATCTACAAAATAAGAAAAAGTAAACACTTGGAAAGTTTGGAGGGAAACGTGGTTGGGATTCATGGTTTCGTTCAATCGTCGCCTAATTAATTTCTCAACAAGCCAATTAACGAATTACTCATTCACGATGTTAGACCCGATCTTTCAATTTTAGTTAGTTACCTTTCTCGAGTGAAATTAACCTTAATTGATTGGTTTAACCTACTATATCTCTATGTCGATTACAACCAAACAATCGCATCCAATCATTGTGAAAATAGCTCATTGGGTCACCTAGGGCTAATGGTATATCTCTATCCATTACACAAACCTACGGTTCCTACTATTTGGTCTAAAATGCACAATCTTCTCTCG